CTCCCGTCCTAAGGCTCCTCCCAGGAGGGGTCATAAGGGGCCACGAATCCGCCAGGGAGGCAAGGGTCTGGCCTGCGGGCGGCTGGGGGGGCTGTGTCCGAAGGGTGGGTCATCCACACGTCGTACACAGTCTTGTTTGGGGGCATGCCCTGATCCAGGTCGACAGACAGCTGGGAGGGCAGGGTGGACATCGGGGTGCCCCCCGGCCTCCGCTCCCAGCTCGCCGGACTTGCCAAGGCTGCCACCGGGGCGCTGCAGAAGGACAAGCCCGGGACAGGGGGAAAGGCGCTGAAGGGTGGGGGGTAGCTCAGCGGGGCCACCACGTTGGGGGCCACGGACGTGGTGTACGAGGTGGGCAGCTGCTCCCAGTGCGGGGCGCAGGGGGGCGGTGTGCCGCCCCGGGAGGACTCGGAGTCTGAACCACTGCTCTCGGGGTCCGGGTGGCCCCTGGGGCGCTTGGCCGGGAGGTGGGGAGGGTGCCCCTTTCTGGCCCTTGGCCTCCCCGCCTCCCCACCTTCACGGGGCGACAGGGACCCGAGAGAGGAGAGGCTGCTGGAGGAGGAGAAGGACCGGAGGGCCGGCTGAGGGCACGAGGGGCGCCGGGGCAGAAGGGGCCGACCCGCGGAGAGGCGGAAGAGGGGGATGGGCCCCCAGAAATCCAGGCCGGCCGCTGGGTGGCGGGGTGGCGGTCCTTCACGGTCTGCCCCACGCTTCCCACACAGGCCCACATCCTGGAAGTCGCTGAGCAAGGAGTCGATGCTGAAGGGGCTGGCCTGCCGGGCTGCTTCGGGGCTAAAGCCAGGGCTCTCGTCGGCCGCGTTGCCGGCGGCTGGGGGGCGGCCGAGAGGCAGGCCCTGGAAGACGTAGGGGGCCAGATCGGCAGCAAACATCCCCTCTTCCTGGCGGGAGATGGGCGTGTTTTGCAGCTTGAGGGCCTCGTGTGGGATGCGGCCGAGGTCGACGGTCCAGAAGTTCCCCTTTGCTTTGGGTTTGGTGGGGTCTTTTAGCACCTGCAAGAGAGGGGAGAGAAGGGCGTGGCTTCGTGTGGCTTCCAGCCTCCCACCAAAATGGAAACCCTGGAGAGAGAGAGGAGACCCAGGGGAGAAAACGGTCCGGAGGTGGCCACCTTTGGACCGCAATGGAGACCCCCTCGCTCAGGCGCATCAGAAACGATCGACAACCAGCTCTGGATCTGGAAGCCTCCCTCTCTCCCAAGCGCTGGGTGGCCGGTCTGTCAAGGGAGAGATACCCACGCAAAGGCCATCATCTCCCCTCAGAGCTTTATAGATCTCCAGGGGGAAAAAAATCCGGAGCCTGTGTTCTGTCAACGCTGGCATTATCCGCCCAAAAAGGGTTCACTCCAGAATGAAACCACATGGATTAGCCATGCCATTAAAACCACCTGGCTAATCTCATGTCGGTCCTCTCGTGCTGGCAAAACAGCTCTGACGAGTCAAGGAAAGGACTCCACAAGAGCCACATCCCATGGATGCTCCATCGGATTGAGATCTGGGGAATTTGGAGGCCAAGGCAACGCCTGGTCATGTTCCTCAAACCACTCCTGAACAATGTTTGCAGTGTAGCCGAGTCCTGCTGAAAGGGGCCACTGCTATCAGGGAACACCACTGCCATATGTAGCCTGCAACAATCTCTGGGTAGGTGGTATGTGTCAAAGCAGCACCCACATGAATGCCAGGACCCAAGGATGACCTGCAGAACATTGCCCAGAGCATAACACTGCCTCCGCCAGCTGACCTTCTTCCCATAGCGCATCCTGCTGCCATCACTTTCCCAGGTAAATGAGGCACATGCCGCCAGCCATCCACCTGATCTAAAAGAAAACGTGATCCATCAGATCACGCAACCTTCTTCCTTTGCTCCATCGTCCGGTTCTGATGCTCACATTCCCCACTGTAGGTGCTTTCTTTGTGGGCACTCTGACCTGCCGGCGGCTACACAGCCCCAGGCACAGCAAACTGTGATGCACTGTGTATCCTGACACCTTTCTACCATGGCCAGCATTACCTCCATCAGCCATTTGAGCTGCAGTAGCTTTTCTGTGTAATCGGGACAGACGGGCTAGCCTTCGCTCCCCTCCTGCATCCACAAGCCTGGGGCCACTGCAACGCCAAGACGGCGGTCCTTCCTTGCTCCACTTTTGATAGGTCACAACCACAGCATACAGGGAATGCCCTACAAGTCCTGCCGTATTCGAGGTGCTGAATAATAATTGCTATCTGGCTCTTCTCAAAGTCGCTCTGATCTTTCTTCTGCTTGCCTGTATTTCCTGCTTCCAAGACATGAAATTCAGGAAATGACTGTTCACTCGCTGCCTAGCATATTTATCCCAACCTGTGGCTGATACATTTGCAATGATATAATTCATGCTAGTCACTTCGCCTGTCAGTGGTTTAAAACCTGTGGCTTATGAGTGTACAGTGGTGCCTTGCTTAACGATTGCCCCGCATTACGACAAAATTGCTGTACGATGATCTTTTTGTGATCGCAATTGCGATTACAAAACAATGGTCTAAATAGTTTTTTTTTTCACTTTGCGATGATCGGTTCCCTGCTTCGGGAACCGATTCTTTGCAAAATGACTTTTTTAAACAGCTGATCGATGGTTTCAAAATGGCCGCCCGGTAAACAAAATGGCTCCCCGCTGTTTTCTGGGACGGATTCCTCGCAAACGAAAATGGCTGCCCTATGGAGGATCTTCGCTGGACGGTGAGTTTTGACCCCACTGGAACGCATTGAAGGGGTTTCAATGCATTTCAATGGGGTTTTTTTTGCTTTACGATGTTTTTGCTTAACAGTGATTTTCCTGGAACAGATTATTGCCGTTAAGCGATGGAACAGATTATCATCGTTAAGCGAGGCACCACTGTATGTCTTTTCATTGTTGCAGCATCCAGACAACACTGTTTTGATATTCCATGTACAAAATATAAGTCAGAATCGTTGTCCAATACAAAAGCCTTACAGCTATAAACCAAATTGTAGGCACAAATATTTAAAAATCCATCTATGGAACTTATGAAAAGTAAAAAAAAAAAAAGATTGCAACTTTAAGTAATCTTTAGCCTTACTAAAAAGAATGGGAAATATCAAAGCTGTTATATATGGTAATAAAATATATTTTTAAAATGCCTTTCTTAGCTTTGAAGCATATAAATAACACCCATTAAAAATAATACATTTTCTAAATGCTCAGCCAGTTATTAATTAATTAACTGATTGATTCATTCATTGATAAATAATACATTTTCTAAATGCTCACCCAGTTATTAATTAACTGATTGATTCATTCATTGACTGATTAACTAGCTAATTAATTAATTAATTAATTAAATGCTGCCTTTCTTCCCATAGGGAGCCCAAAGCAGTTTGCAACAAATAAAACTATATAAAAATATTTTAAAACAGTTGAACATATATTAAGAATAAGAACCCAGATTAAATGCAGTTTCATTTAAAAGACTTTAAAAATCTGTAAGTTAAAAAACCAGCCTCCCTGAGAACGGCGACTAAAGCTGTTTGTGTTCTGTAACCAGGTCTGAAGGCAGATGGAAATGGATCTAGAGAATCCCTTCCATCCAGGAACCCCTGGAGCCGAGGGGCCATAAGACCTTGCCCCAAAATGGAATATTAGAGACTGGCTGATAATTCTCCAGTGCAGTGAGATTCGGGGTGGGATTTTTCAACACCGGTCTTCTTACCACCTTCTTAAGACATTCTGGAGCCTCACCTAGTTGCAAGGGGGCATTTGCCACCACCCTGTAACGCCGTCGGCCTTTTATAAGCCAGGAAGGGCAAGGATCTGGCACACCGGTGGCAGCCTTCCCCTCTCCAAAGGTCCTGTCTTAGGCCATCAGGCCACACCACCTGAAACGTACTCATTCTAATGGGACAAGCGAGGGCCAAAGTTACACCCATGGGGTCTATGTCAACGACAGCATCTTAAGTCAGAGTAGATCCAAGCCATTTTTATGCGCCTGTATGCTAGCTCCCATATTTATGTTTTCAGTGGCTCCCCTCTTAAACCTTCTCTCATCCAGGGTTGGTCAGCTGCAGGCCTGGAGGCCCGACAATTTTTCCCCCCAATAGAAAATTCTATTGTTCCTGCAGCACTAGAAGTCTGCCAATCCATACTTGACTCACTGCCATTATGATGTCTTTTTATCACCGTTTTGACTACAATTTTTTGCAGAATCTGCATCGCTAGTGGTCTAAACTATAAGCCCCTAGCCTAGACCTAGACCTTAGGGCATCAAGGGTCTATCTAGGACATTAGACCAATGCAATATTAAGCTATGACAATCCCCCGTAGGGTGTGTGATAAAGACTAGAAGTCTGCCAATCCATACTTGACTCACTGCCATTATGATGTCTTTTTATCACCGTTTTGACTACAATTTTTTGCAGAATCTGCATTGCTAGTGGTCTAAACTATAAGCCCCTAGCCTAGACCTAGACTTTAGGGCATCAAGGGTCTATCTAGGACATTAGACCAATGCAATATTAAGCTATGATGATCCCCCATAGGGTGTGTGATAAAGATCTACTACAAACCTATAATATAACATAAACAACATTCAATTACCAGAAATGTTTATATATCTGTGACCTTGCTGGCTATAAAGCCGGCTTCCTGTTTTGTTTAACTATAGTAAACTATTTCCAAACTGTAATTTTAAACACACTACCACCACCCATTTCTCAACATTTTACACGTGCCAAATTCCAAACCCTGACAGGCCTGTCGCTGTTTACAGACGGCCACCTGTCATCTCAAGTGAACACAATGGACATCACAACACTGATGCAGAGATGGGAACCAAACTTGCTAGAAAGGCAAATCCTGCCTATTCCCTACTTTGGCATCACAACGACAGCCCACAACCATGTCACATATAGACTACAGCTCAAAGAATGCGCAATAAAGACCAATACAGCAAGATGCACAAGCTGCACCTCCTTCTCCACCCTACGAGGAAGAAAATTGTCCTGATCCACAACCCTTTTCCTCCTAGCTCTACAGAAAGGATTCTCCCAGGGGGCTGGAACAAAGAATTAGACTTTTCTGCTGCCAAACTCAGGTTGAGATTGCCAGTGAAGGACATGGTTTCCATGCAGGGTCAGCGAGGCACAGCATGACGCCATATACAGTTATAAGCAGAGGAGGAAACATAACAAAAAAGTGCATTCCAGAGCATCATCTTAGTAGCACTCAGGGATGAGTACCTTCAGTATGAGATCCAGCGCAGCTCCCCAAGCTTTGGCCAGAGAGAAGATCCCTCATTTGGGGATGGGAAGGATGGTGACCCCTTTACCTTCTCTAGCTCTGTTCGCAAGCGCATTCCCCCCCCCACACACCTGGTCTCACCTTGTGGAAGCAGTCATTCGAAGAGAGGTTGTGGCGGACGGAATCCTTCCAGCCCTGGTAGCCTTCCTTGAAGAAGGGGAAAAGGATGCTGATCTCCTTGATGATCTGGAAGGCCGAGAAGTAAAGGTGAGAGGTTCTCTCAGCCCTGGGCCCATGGGGGCATCTGGCCCCTTCTGCTCATCTGCAGAAGAACGGTTCAGAGAGAGAGAGAGAGAGAAGGAGCGAGAGGAAAGATGCTTTTTGCACGCTGGCATCCCAGAGGCTGTGGAAGAACAGCCAGGAACAAGATTCACGGCTCGGGAAGGAGACCAGCAGCGGCAAAATCACTGTATGGCTCAGAGAGCTGAAGTGGTGCTTGGATTTGTGCAGATTTGTGGTTTTGGGGCTATAGCTGCCAGCACTGTAGCCTAAAAACATAATTTTGTGCACCTCTCTCATAGTGTCTGTTACTTAATAGATAAAGGTAAAGGTTCCCCTTGACAATTTCTTGTCCAGTCGTGTTTGACTGTAGGGGGCGGTGCTCATCCCTGTTTCCAAGCCATAGAGCCAGCGTTTTGTCCCAAGACAATCTTCCGTGGTCACATGGCCAGTGAGACTTAGACACGGAATGCTGTTACCTTCCCACCGAAGTGGTCCCTATTGATCTACTTGCATTTGCATGCTTTTGAACCGCTAGGTTGCCGGGAGCTGGGACAAGCGAAGGGCGCTCACTCCGTCGCGTGGATTCAATCTTACGACTGCTTGGTCTTCTGACCCTGCAGCACAGGCTTCTGCGGTTTAGCCCACAGCGCCACCACGTCCCTTTGTTACTTAATAATAAGTCTTTTATTCTGATTTGTTTAAACCTGCTGATTTTTCTCCCAGGATTAGAACCCACAGTTTTAAAAAAAGTTTCACTAAAACACAGTAAGTTATAAAGGATGAAATAGAGTTACATTTATTATAATATAGACTTACTCCAGTAAGTTATAAAGGATGAAATAGAGTTAAATTTATTATAATATAGACAGACACTTTAAAATGCAACAACACACAACAAAGGACAGAGTAAGACAAAAACACTCTTTAAAAACAGATGGCAGAAGATTTGCCAAATTCTGGGCTATAAAATGTTTCAAACCCAGTGCTCTTTAATAACAGATCACAAATACATTTTAGAGCCCCCATCTCAAACGTCCAAGGCCATACAAAACAATGAAACATTGATTGTACACCCGAATGTCATCAAGAAAGATGCTTGGGTAATGAGCCTCTTTTGAAGAGCCCCACCTCAGATCACAAATACATTTTAGAGCCCCCATTTCAAACGTCCAAGGCCATACTAAACAATGAAACGTTGATTGGACACCCAAAGGTCATCAGGAAAGATGCTTGGGTGATGAGCCTCTTTTGAACAAACAGCCCCACCTGGCAGATCTGCTTGGATTTGGGTTCCTGCCTTGAGCAGGCGGCTGAATTCGATGGCCTTAGTTAGGGGGTCCCTTCCCACTTCACGATTCTAGGATTCCATGATTCTAGGACAGTGCGTTCCTGGCACAAGTGGGGGATGCCTAGTGGTTACCCATGCACCCCCCCTTGGGACAAACTCTCCTAGCCAAGGAGGCCTCTGCCCACACAGAGGGGGTGACGTTGGTAATGGAGCCACCCTGCAGACTTCAGCCAGAGGTGCCCAAGCCCCAAACTCTCCTGACACGGCCACCCCTCCCAAAGGAAGGAGTGGGGGATGCCCCCAGGGAGGGCCAGCCCAGACATTTTGGGGAGAGTAGGAAGGAAGGGTGGACGATGAGACCAATCTTGGCAAGGGCGATTCAGAAACCCAACAGCGCCCCAGAGACGATGCCTAAAAAGGACAAAACAGAGCCGGTGGGGTGCAAATGCGTATTCGTGCTTCAGACCAATTTTAAGGGCCCTCCAGCCATCTA